TCTGTCCAGTATTGAGAACTGCAGAATAATATTGCAGTTTCCCCACCTCAGGAAAATTCTGTCTCTACTGTGCAGTTGTGTGTTCAGCAGTGGGGAGGTGAGGTCACCAAGTGCACTGCAGCTTCCAGCTAACATCACCAGGGAGATTTGGGCCAGGTACATTTTTGATGTACATTTGGGCCAGGTACATTTTTGTGCTGCTCGTTAGCAGCTGTGTTCTCAAGTAGCGGGAGCTGCAGCGCAGTGTGAGCTGGGAGTGGAAGGGAAAGCAGCCGGGGATCCCAGGAGCAGTGCAGCTGTAGTCACGCTCTGCAACTAATTGGCTCTTTCCTGTATTCGTCCCTTTCCTTGTCTCGTGTTGTTTCCAGTCCCTTATGTGCAGCTCAGCCACCTAAGCACTGAGTCAGGTACCTTCAACTGTGCATCTGCCTTGGCCCAAGTCTGTGTACTGAGTTGAATGATCCTTCGGGTGCACTGCTCCGTCTCAGCATGTCCTGCTGGCCTGCTCTGGGCTAGGCTGATCCATCATACAGCGTGTTTGCTATGGTTTCTCACCTTTCATTTGTATTTTGTTGACTGTTGCATGATTTCAGTTCTGTGGTTTTCAAGAGTGACGAGACTGACTTTCAAAAGGTCACTTGTACAACAGCTGCCTTGGTTTGCACACACTCACTGTGACTGCACCTGCAAATGATCAGCTACATTTCTGGCATTCGCTCACCTTGGACCTTTTGAAATTGGGCCTTAAACATCTTGCTTTAGACGTGCAAAGACTTCGTTTTGGCAGTGAGGAGTGGGTTTTCTTCCTGAGGGTACAGCTCTTCCTGCGCTTACCCAGCAGCACATACTTGGTGACCACGGTACTTGCTCTGAGCCTGCGAGCTTCCTCCCTTTGTAAGTGCTGCTCTTGTTCTCTCTTGCAGTGCCAGCAGCCAGTATGACCAGGCTGATGCGCTCACGTACTCACTCCTCTTCTAGCGTGGGCTCTGGGGAGAGCATCCGCAGCCGGTCTCACGCCAGCAACCACGGTGAAGGCAGTGCTGGAACCCCAGACGGAATTGATCTCCAGGATGCACCTCAAACCATGGAAGTGTCCTGTTAAGCAGGAGTCCTTCTTCTGGATTCAGACAATTCCACTCGCCCCACTGAACCCACTCAGAATCTAGCATTTCATACAACGTGGCATTAACTGTTCTCTCTAACTTGTGCATGCCCATCTGAGCTGCCACCTCCTTAGTAGTCTGTACTTGGCATTACTTTGGTCCTTTCTGTATGCCCTTGGTATCAGAGCCTCTTTACAACCCGTTTAACATTCTGCAGTCTTAGTAAATCACGTTACTGTACATGCTGATACCATCTCCTGTCTGTGCTGTATATCAATGCAGATGACAGCCATTGTCTCCCCTGTTCATTTATATATAATTTCTGTGGCTTTGTGAGGTTTTAGAATTGCTTTCTAGTTGTGCTTCTGCTAAAGGACCCTTGTGGTGCAGTCAGAATGGCATCTGTGGGACACGGGAAAGCAAGGCCATGATGCTGTGACGCTGAGGCAGAGCTGTGCCTGGAGCACGGAGCCCACCAGGAGGTCTTTGTGTTCCAGGACTCGGGGCGTGCCAAGCAGCTGTGGGAAAAGCCACGGTCAGAAATACTGTCGTGGTCTCATCTCTGTATGTGTGTTAAGAAGGAGCAGAGTGATTTCTTACCGGAGCCTCCTGAAAGGGCAAAGCAATTAACAAGTGAACACTAACTGAGGTGCACTATTCATCAGAGTACAAGGGATTAAAGTGCAGCAGCTCTGGCCTCCAGGCTGCCCTTCCTGCAGGGACCCGAGTGCAGTTAAGGCACAGTCACTGTTCTGCCCTGGCACAGGGGGGATCTTTAGCATCAAGTAGGTTGTGGAATGGGCAGCAGTGCCCCTCGCCATCCAGAGATCCCCTATCTCCTGCACTGCCAATTCTGCCTCTCACTGCTGCCATCCCCAGGCAGCGTGTCTGCACAGGGACTTCACTGAGGCTCAGGCAATGCCAGTGAATGGCAGTGACTGCCACGGGCTGTGTCCATGTGACTCAGGCCAGCAGTTGAGCAGTGAATGCCTTTGTGCAGGTACTGTTCATCGTCTTTGTGGAATTTGCAGTTCTGCTGCCTTTCTGCATCTGTCTGGGTCACTGAGAGCAAGAAGGAAATGCCTGCTGTGTGCCAGGGTCTGGCTGTTAATGGGTGAAAAGGGATGAGTGGTCAGGATGCTGCACGTCTCGATAGACGAGCAAAACATCCGTGCTTACCAGGTGAGCCAGTCCTGACTCACTGGGAGGCAGCTCCCCCGAGGCTCACACTCATGTTCTGCTCCATTTCAGGTAGGGAATGGGACCGGGAGGCTCTGCCTGAGGGGGACTTTGTACCGGTTATTAAATAAAGCTATAACTGAGTTTCATTGTTACCCTGCCTGCTCACCGTGTTTCTCTTGGCAGGGCCTGCACTGCAGCTGTGAGGCACAGCCCGGCCTGGCAGGGCAGTCCTGGGGGCTGTCCTCAGGCAGGGGTGTCTGCAGGCATCGCTGCGGGTTTGTGCCTGAGTGCACAGAGGAGCTTCCAGCTCTGCCTCTGATCTTCCAGCTGATGGTTTGCCACCCGAAGTTGCCTCCAAAGGCAGCGAGTGCTGCGGCTGTGTCCTGCTCGGCAGTTCCTGCCGGGACAAAGCAGGGGGTGCTGCAGAACGCAGGGGAAGCCCTGCTGGCTCTGTAACTGTGTGCGTCCAGCCAGGTGCGCACGGAGCGGTGCTGAGAACAGCCGTTCATCTTCTGCTTCTCAGATCCAGTTTCTGCTCTCAAGATGACAGCCTGCTTGTGCTCAAGGGGAGCACCTGGGGCTGAGAAGCGGTGAAGCTTTTGGTCTCAGGTTGGTCCTGGTGCCGCGGCTCTGCCCGGGCTGGGCTCCGGTTCACACGTGGGGAACTCCCACTGAAATGCAGTGTTTTCCAGAAGTACAAAGTGTCTGAAAGGTGAGAAACAGGAGGAGCTGCCCGGCAGGGTGAGCGTGAGGTCTGGTCGGGGGAGGGCAGGCCGAGCCTTTGGGTGCCAGGTGAAAAAAAATTCATCCCTGCTGATTGCAAGTGCCCAGTGTGTAAGAGGAGTTGCAGCAGGCATCGCTGCCGGGCGCTGCACCGAGGGCAACGGCACGTAGAAATGATTCCTCCCGAGTTCCCTCATGAAAACACGGACTGAAGGGAACACAAACACAGCATTAAATGAGCTAAAGGAAACAACCGCACCGCGGGGCTGTGCGTGGTGCTGGTGGGATGGAGCCCGGGAGAGCAAACGGATGGGATTTCGGCATTTTGAAAGGGAGAAGAGGAAGAAGGGAGCTTCGCTCCATTGGCTGCTGAAGGGCACGGCTCTGCCTGGGCTCCGCAGGGCTGCGCGGTGGATCCCGGGCCGTGCCGCTTCGCCCTGCGCCGCCGGGCAGCGCTCCGTGCCGGGGGGCAGCCGGGCAGCCGAGCAGCGGGGCGATGCCGCCCGGGACGCTCCGTGTGGGCGCTGATGGGCGCTTTTCCTTCTGATTCAAGCCGTGCGAGCGCCGCAGCCCCGGGCGGGAGGTGGGGAAGGACGTCTGGTCACGGGGGCTTTCGAGACACGGCAGCGACTCCGGTGGCGGCTTCAAGGAGGAAGCTGGAGTGACCGCAGCAGCTTCTTCCCCCCAACTCATCTGTTATCGTAACTCCGTGGGGAGCCGATAGAGGTGGGTGGGTGCGGGGCCCTTCTCCTCCGCCGGATCTGAGGCTGCGTCCCGGACCGCCCCGCGGCTCCCTCTCTGCCTCCAGCTGCCGCTCCGCTCACGGCACCGGAGACGCGCCGCGCTGCCGCACCCGCTCAGCGCTCAGCCCTCAGCCCGGCCCGCGTGCCGCTGGCGCTGCACCGGCGCTGACCGAGCGGAGCGGAGCGAAGCGAAGCCCAAAGCCCTCCGGGGGCGCGAGGCCGAGCGGCGGCCGCTTTCGTATCCGCGCCGTTCTTTTTCCGTGCGCACTTCACACCGACACGGCGGTTTGCGATTGACCAGAAACCGTCAGAGCACAACCGGCGGATGTGAGCGCGGCCAGGGCAGAGAGCGGCGCCGGGGGCAGCGGGACCCGTTTGCGCTTTGCCCGCTGTCGCGCCGTTCCGTAGCGCCGTCCCAGCGGCGGCCGCCGGCCCTCCCGCACACGGTGGGGCTGCGCTGCGCGGCGGCGCAGAGCGAAAAGGAGAACGGCGCGGCGCCACTCTGCAACCGGCACAGGAAGCGCCGCAGCCGCCTGGAAGAGCCCGGCCTCTTCGCTTCGCACCGCTGCGGCCGGTCGCAGCCCCGCGTCCGAACGCCGGGATGCTCGGCGCCCGCCCGGCCCCGAGGAGCCCGGCGCGATGGAGGCTGCCGTGAGCGGCAGGTAGGCGGGTGATCCTGGGTGGGTGACAGGGGGAAGTGCGGGCTCAGATCGCGGGTTCGGGTCACGGAGCGGCTCTGGCCGTGCCTCCCCACGGGCGAGGAGCCCACGTGCGGTGCTGCGCGGAGAAGGGAAGCGCGGGAACCCCGCTTCCCTCGGCGCCGACGGCTCGGAGCACCGGGCGGCCCAAATTCCAGGGGATCCCGGGACGGGGTGGGGTGGCAACGTGGGCCGCCCGTCCCCAGAGCCCCCCGCCCGCCGCGGCCGCAGCTCCCCAGGGATCGTACCGGGGCCGAGGCCGTTTCCTCGAAGGACTCCCGGGGGAGCTCGGCCCCGTCCCGGGGCTCCCCTGCCCCGCCCGGCTCGGAGCCGCTGTGCCGGGGATGGGACGCTGACGCCACTCTGGGATGGGAGCCCGCAGCCCTCAGCCCGATGTGGGCACCGCAGTGTGTGTGGCTGCGGGTCCCGGCCCTTCTGCCCTCCGCCACGGACGCGGCCCGGGCCGGGCCGGGCTCCGTCCTTCCCTTCCAGCCGGTGGGGCCCACGGGCGGGGGCCGGGACTGCGTGCTGACCCCGCAGTGCGGCGAGGGATGGGGATCCTGCCCAGCCGGGAGAAGCCGCTCAGCGCCGCACCGTTGGCCGCCGTCCCCGCGCCGTCCCCACTGCCCACACAGGCAGCCCCGGGCGGATTCCAGGCGCTCGCCCTGTGTGATTTCCCCTCCGGGACGGGCGCGACCGCTGTGCTGAGAATGGGCGAGCAGCTCCGCGTCCTCTCTGAGTAAGTCCTGCACCCAGCGGGCCCGCCTGGCACCCATCCCCGGGTCCGTAGGGATCCCCTGCCCGCAGCCGCAGGACATCGTGTCCCCCTTCCCTGCAGGGATGGGGAGTGGTGGCTGGTGGCATCCCAGGTGTCCGGCAAGGAGTGCCTCATCCCCAGCAGCTGCGTGGCCAAAGTGCAGCACAGGTGGGTGTCAGCCCAGGGCGACACGTGGGGGGCTCAGCCGGGACACCCCAAACTCCTGGGTTGTCCCAAGGACAAACCGCAGCTGCTGCACCTGCGCCTCCAGGCCCATTGCTGGCATCAGAGCTGAGCTTGGGGATGTGACAACGGTGTCCCAGTCCCAATGCCCCATACCTGAATCCCGGTGCCACGCAGCCCACGGGCATTTCCGCAGGGCCGCCTGTCCCTGTCTCTGTCCCCATCCCTGGGACAGAAGGTGCATCAGCTCTGCCACTGCCCGCTGCCGTGCAGGTGGCTGTACGAGGGCGTGAGTCGGGAGAAAGCGGAGGAGCTGCTGCTGCTGCCGGGCAACCACAGCGGAGCCTTCCTGATCCGTGAGAGCCAGACCCGGAGAGGTGAGCACGGCCTGCAGTGCTGGGGATGGGAAGCCACAGGGTGAGTGGAATGGGGCACAGGCAGCATCCTTGGGATGGAGTGGGACAGGACAAGACAGAAACATCCAGCAGCACTGCTGCACACAGGACAGAGCTGGGCCCTTGAGAACACCCCAGAACCCGTGCAAGCTGCTGCCAGGGCCCATCCCTGCGCCCCTTCCTCAGCATAAGGAGTTTCCCAGACCATCCACACCATGTGCCAAGAGCCAGGCCCAGAGTGAGGCTGCTCTGCCACCACACCGGGTGGCACTGGATTGCCCTGCTCAGCCGCTTCCTGCTGCCACTGCTCTGCTCTGTGCTGCACCTCTTCCTCTACCAAAGGGCCCCGACGAACCAACAAACCAGCTTCCTGCAGCCGCTGGTTAAGCAGGGAGGCTCAGCCTCAGAGATGAAAGGGGCCCTGCTTGTGGCACAGAGCCCCACAGCAACCACGAGGGGACCCTGCTGGGCACCCCTAGGCTGAGCCCTTCTCCTGGCAGCTCTGCCACGCAGCACTCACACTGCTGCCATCCTGGTGCTGCGGGAGGGGAGCACTGGACAGTGCCCATCCTGGCAGCCCCACATCTCCGAGCTGTGGGTGCTCCCACTGATAAAAGTGAGGCTGTTGGAGCCGGAGGCTGAGTGGGGCTGCAGGCGGCTCAGCCCCATGCCCCGCACACCCCGCAGGCGGTTTCTCACTGTCGGTGCGGCGCACTGAGCTCGCCTCATGGGATGCAGTCACACATTACCGCATCCACCGCCTGGAGAACGGCTGGCTCTACATCTCACCCCGCCTCACCTTCCCCAGCCTGCACGACCTCGTGGACCACTACAGCGGTAAGGAGCAGCAGAGATCGGCCCGGGGCGCCTGCATGTGCCTGCAGGTTGGTGCAGCACTGTGCTGACGCTGCCGTCCCCACGCAGAGTGTGGGGAGGGTCTGTGCTGCACCCTCAGGGAGCCCTGTGTCACGGAGATGGCAAAGGCAGTGCCTGCCCTGGTCCGGCCCGCTGTGGTGAAGAAGCCAACGCTCAACTGGGACAAGATTGACAGGTGGGGGCAGCCGTCTGTGAGGGCTGCGGTCCCCCTGGGGCTGGGCATTGCTTGCTGACCGCCCCGTCCGCCCCACAGCTCCGTCCTGCTCTCAGAGGCTGTGCCACCTCCGGGGGAGGGAGAGGAGGACTCCCCCATCAGCCTGGGCCTGCGGGAAGCCATCAGCTCCTACCTGCTGCTGACCGATGGCGTGGATACAGAGACCGGCCCTGTGGGGAAGGGGGCGAAGACCAGCTGAGGGCGCAGCTGCCACAGCCCCGGGATGGGCACCCACGCCTGCCCCACCGTGGGCTGCTGGGCCCTGAGCAGCACTCAGAGGGCACTGCAGATGCTGCAGCCCTGCAGTGAGGGCACATGGCTGGCGGTAGCCACACTGACAGTGGTGCAGCTTCTGCAGGAGCTGGGACAGAGCCCAGGGCTGGGGCTGAGCCCATGCAGAGGCACGGCCCCACAAGCTCCAGGCCCCACAGCACACGTGGGGCTCCACAGAACCTGGGCCCCCAGAGCCCCTCAACATGACTGGAGCAGCCCTGCCCCACAGCAGAGGCAGGAAGCCGCCCTTACCTCACCCCACAGACACGTTTAAAGCTTTACCTCACCCATTAAACAGGATCACGCAGGGCACACAGCAGCACCTGTTTGCAATCTCTTAATTAAGGGTTACAGGGGGGTAAATTCAGCACCACTGCACTGAGGCACACGGAGCAGCCCTGCAGCTCGGGCAGCCTTTGCTTTAAACAAAGTTGGGTTGGAGGACCAACCCAACTCGAGGACCACGTGGGAGCACGGACAGCGCGGCAGTGCCACACCAAACCCAGCAGTGCTGTAAACACATCAGAGCAGCGCCACGGCTGACAGCAGCCCCCCATTGCACACAGCAGCGGCACGGGGCCTGGAAACCTCTGCTCTACCCTTTCAGAGCTCACAGAGGCTGCTGTGGCAGCACCCGACCCACTTCCTGCCCCCGCCACGCTCCGCTCTCCCCATTTTCATGTCTCACTGCCGGGCTCACGCAGCCCCCGCGCACTCTCGGTTTCCCAGGTGCAGCCCAGGCAGGGGTTTCCTCAGGCCCCGCTCAGCTCTGCCCCCTTTGCGCCCTTCTGCTCCCATCACCCAGATCTCATCTCCCCCGTCCCCCTGGATTTTAAATACACGAAAGGAATGCTGCAGGCTGAGGAGCCGTCGCTGCACAGCTCATCATCCACATAGCAGCAGCAGGCTTCCCAGATGCCGTCTGAGTGGTTTTGACCACAGACACAAACAAAACCACAGTTATTTTATTGAGTTGTTAATTGAAACAAAGACATCGCTAAGACTTAACCAACAAAAAACTATTTATTTATTCCAAACACCAAGATACAGAAGTTTTCAAGTTTTGCAAATATTGCTCCAAAGCAAAATCCTATATACAGCGCCCTCAGTTCTAATAGTGCATAAACAAAGACAAATACGTATCCACAGTGCAATGTTTGCTCATTTCATCAAGGCTCCACGTTGCATTCACTTACCAGTGATTTAAAGAACACAAAGGTGACCTGCCAGACCCCACGGCCGGCCCAGGCTACGAAATAACGATGCGGAAACTTACAGAAACAGGGACAAAATGAATCCAAAGCACAATAAAGAACCTTTCCTGAACATGAGAAACGCTAGTCTAGTTTAAATAAATACTTCCAGCCTTTACCTGCGAGGGCTTCTTCTGGCTGCGCTACAGGAGAACCAGCCCAGGCTCTGCCGCCTCCCACCCCTCAGAACAGCCCTTTCTCCCATCTCCTCAGCACTGCCCTGAGTGAAAGCGCAGCCAACACACAGGAAGCAGCTCAGCTCTGAGCAGAGCCGCCAGCTCAGGAGCTGCTCCCAGCCTCCCAGCACAGCCGTGTGCTGCACGATGCTCACCCACCAACCCTGTGGGAGCACCTGCTGCAGGTCTCACAGGTTCCCCTTCCTGGCCCTTCTCCCCACAGCCCCACAGCCCCCTTCCTGCCTGCACCGTGCTGCTGGGCTGCCCTGCCCCATGGCACCTGGGAGCTGGGGCTCACAGCAGCAGTGTGGCAGCCCAGCACTGCACCCATCTTCAAAGGGTGAAGCGCATCCTCAATGCCACATAAGCCTTATTCTGTGTTACAGAGCAGTTCATTTTTCTGCTGTACGTGTGTTGTGCTCATCGTGTACCAGCCGTGCTATGAAACAGAGACAATTACTCCCTGAATGACTCCTTGCACAAAGCTGCAGCAACTACCCGGAGAAGCCCTGTTACCTCACCTTCTGCAGGGACTGATTAGAACATTCCCTGTGTAGATAATGTTGCAATTATTACTGTAGGAGTTTCCACAGTAAATCATTACCATTTGCAGTAAGTGAGCACGATGGGCTCAGTGCAGCTTCAATCTACCCTCGGCAGCACCATCACACAGTGCAGCTCTTTTAGGACGCCCTCTCCATGGGAAAACACCCTCGCCGTTCTGTACAGTGACCCCAGCTGTGGCAGGAAGGAAAGCGAAGCTGCAGTGCTGCTGCCGGAGCGCTGATCCACAGCAGAAAGGCTCCTGATGCCTCTGACAGCACAGCACTGCCTCAAGGACTGCACAACGCACCTGAATCCACGCAGCATCTTCACCTTGCTTCACAGAGTAACACAGACCAGGACACCAAAACGTAAGGCAGGAAAGGGAACTCGCGAACACACACTGTTAAGATAACAACCCACTCAGTGCCTCTCAGGACAGCACCTCATGCATAGATCTCGAGGCTTTATTTACACAAATATAAAACAAACTGATTCCCAAAACCGCACATTCATGGTAAGTCTTTACAGTGAACACGTCCCGAGTGCTGAAAAAAGTCTACATTTCAAAATAGAACCGGAATGGCGACTATTAACAAAGGGAAAGGCCACGCAACGCCCACTGCAGCCCCTCCTCCCCCTGCAGAGCAGCAGGGCAGGCAGCTCAGCCCCAGCACTGAGAGAGAGACAAGGTCAGAACCCAGAACAGCCATTTATCCCAAACTGAGCGCAGCGCACGGCGCTTCTGCTGCGCTGCCTGCTGTGCCAGGTGCTGCCTGGGCTCCTGGCCGCCCTCCACGTGGCAGCCCAAAGCTGGGAGCCGGGCATTCATACTAGGTCTGAAAAACGTTATAACATTTGCTAATGATTAAATACAGTGTGCATTACGCATAAACCAGAAGGAATAAAACATGACACAAGTCACTGAAACTATGCGGAGTTATTTACAACCTCTGTCAACTGAACGTTTTTGGCTCTTAGAACTCTGCTCTTCAGTGGCACAACTTTAGTAGTTTAATCACGAGAAGTCTACCTCTTCATGAGCAACTTGTAAGGAGTGAAAATTTGAGTATAATTTAATCAACCAACACCCAGCCTTTGAAGACAACAGTATTAACCTCCTCCATTCCCAACAGCCCCGGAATGAGGAGATAAAATAACCTTCTGGCCGTTCTTTGAGCAGCGCCTCTTCGCAAATCCCTGAAGTCAATCTGCACCACATGCAACCAGCATGCTGACCTCACTTAAATACACACAGCTCTCCAGCCGGACGCCCGACGCCGCGCTTTTTGCAGTCCCAGCACTCCCTGGTCTCACGTGGAGCAGCACAGCGCGATCTGCTGCACCTTGCTGAGGTCTGTGATCAGCTGCTTTATGCAGTGCTTGAGCTGCGGGAGGCGGGCGAGCGGCTCGGGTGGCTCCAACTCCCCCGTGTAATCCAGCCAGCTCTCCAGAACTGCCAAGAGAAACAGAAGGGACATTCCTTCAGTTCCCACATAGGTTGCTCTGAGCCACAGAAAGAGATCTTTACATCCAGCATCAACCTTGAGAAATGCAGGCACAGATGTAACAGCCCTGAGATGCCACAGAGCGACTCCTGCTATCCATCATTAGGAAGAGCTTTTGATACTAAACAACCAATTCAACGTTGAAGGGAAATTTTAAAGGACAAAACCCAAATGTTCCCAGGAGAAAGTAGTGAGAGACGACACCATGTGGCGCTAGGAAGATCATACTATTGGAATGCCTTATGATGGGATCTTAAAAGAACTGACTGGTAATATAAAGAACTGCAGTCTCTGAGACCATCGGCTCCAGTGCAGACAGACACCTTCTGCAGGAAGCAGGAGAGGTGGTGTGCAAGGAGGGGCCTGAAATCAAGGAGCACCCAGAGCAGGAGGGGTTGGAAGTGGTGGCACAGTCAGAAAGCAGTGGCAGAACTGCTATCGCAGAAATGTGGTGCAAGAAACTGCACAGCAGGAGCACCAAGATGGAGGGCTACAAGCTTTAAGAGAAAGGCAGGGCAGGAGGGGCCAGGGAGCCGCCCTCTGTGCTAAGAGCTGGGCAGACTGCAAAGGGCTGCCTCTGAGAACAGCCATGCTCAGGTCAAGAGTTTGTGGGTTAAAAACCAGGAGCTCAAAGGGCATCTGGCAGTTGGGTCAACTGTGGGCACCTGATCAGACGGAGCCTGAGGATGAAGCTTTCTTGCTCCAGCTAAAATAGGCATCACACTTTTTCAGTCTGTCATCCCAATGAGAGATTTCAACCACCCGGTGCCTCTGCTGGGACAGCAGCACAGTGGGCTGCAAGCAATCCAGGAGACTCCTGGGCTGCATGTAGGACAACCTGCTGGTGCAGGTATTGGACAGACCAACCAGTGCTGAAGCACTAAGAGAACCGGTGCTCACCAGTGTAAAATAAATCATTAGTGAGGTTCAGATCAGAGTTTGTCTGGGGTGCAGCAATCATGGTGTGAGGGAATTCAAGATCAAGGAGTATGGGCCTGGCAAGAAGTAAAGACAGGGCCCTGAACTTTAGAAGATCCAGCTTCCAGCTGTTTAAAGAATTACTGGATGAGATCCCCTAGGAAGCTGTCCTCAGGGGCAGAGGAGCCAAGCAGAGCTGGCACCTCTTAAGGACGCCAGCCTGAGAGCACAACAGCTCTCCATCCCCCAGGGTAAGGAATCAGGTAGAGGAGGCAGGAAACCAGCAGGCAGAGCAGGGACACACTGCTCAAAGTGAGGGGTAAGAAGGAAACGTGCAGGCAGAGGAAGCAGGCAGGCGTGCTGGGCAGGGCAGAGGGATGTTGTCTGGATGAACAGAGATAGGACGAGCAAAGCCAAGGCACAGATGGGTCTGCACTTGGTGAGGGATGTGAAAAATAAGGCAGTAAACTGGTCAGAAGAGTGAGGTCAAGGAGAGCGTGTCCCTTCTGCCCACACCCTTCAATAAGAGAGAAAGGAGAACTGTCTGCAATAGACCAGGAGAACATTGGAGAGGCCATATGGAAGAGGGCAGAACAGCCAGCAAGCCCCAAAGAACAGCAAAGCTTGGAGACACAGAAGCACTATGGAAAATGACAACAGAAACAAGACACGAAAAACATTCCAGTACGTCATCTGATGGAAGTATTCAAGTATGCAAGCAGGATTTTTTTATTCAAATTAAGTTCTTCATGGTATTAATTTGATCTTCAATTTTGTTTTCAAACCTTCCAAGCACCACAAGTGTCTGCTTTCTATTACTCAATGCAGTCCATCTCACAGCTTAACGCTCATCACTCTGTAGGTCTGCAGAAGTAAATCTACAGACAGATGTTTTTTTGAACAAAACGCAGGGGTTTTTTT